ACTGTGTTGTAGCCACAATTAGGGACACTAAGGTCCAAAAGGTTAAACCTCGCATTATCATTAAGAGAGACAAAAAACATTTTGTGGAGCAGGGTTTTGTGCATGATCTGTTTGATTTTGATTGAGGTAAAATCGATCTGTGTGCTGATGTGGAAACCGCATGGTCTTATTTTTATCTTGGTTTTATGGAGATCATTGATAGACATGCACCCCTGCGTAAATTTAGAGTAAAGGGACGAGACAATCCTTGGTTTTCTGCTGAGCTGTCTAGTCTCCTTCATGAGAGAAACACGGCCTGGGCAAAGGCTAGGCAATCAGGCTCAGAGGTAGAGTGGCTGCGTTTTAGGCAGCTAAGGAATAGCTTCACTTTAAATGTCAAAAGTGTAAATAATCCTAGGAAATGTTGGAAAGCCATAAAATCGATATCCACCGGTGAGATCCGTAATGAGCTACCTCCGTGCCTTACCACAGCATCTGGCACTATATCGGACAGGGCTACTATGCTAAATTGCTTTAATGAGCATTTTGTGTCCTGCGGTTCTATGTTTGATTCTGTGATTAACTCTGCTTCTGTGAACACCCCAATCCGTGACTCTGAACAATGTGGTCTGGAAAACCCTTTCAATTTTACTCCTTTTACTGTCAATGTTGTTCATGAAGCCTTATCTAAGCTAGATCCTAAGAAACCGGCTGGCCCGGACAACGTAGAACCTTTCTTTTTAAAGATAGCTGCAGATTTTATTGCTCTTCCTCTTACTACTCTTTTTAACCTCTCCCTCAGCACAAATGCAATTCCAAAAGTATGGAAGTCAGCTTATGTCTTGCCTTTACTGAAAGGAGGGGAGGCAACTATTTTAAATAACTATAGGCCAATCTCTAAATTGTCAGTTCTGGCGAAGGTTCTTGAACGCTTAGTGAGTGAACAGGTAAAGGAGTTTTTATGTACAAATTATATCCTGTCTAAACATCAGTCAGGCTTCAGAAAGCAACATACAGTAGCACCATCACTGCCACAATGAAAGTGGTGAATGACATTACGAGTATTTTAGACAATAAGCAGAGTTGTGCAGCTCTATTTATTGACCTTTCCAAAGCGTTTGATACCGTCGATCATCGCATTTTAAAGCAGAGGCTACTCAGTATCGGCATATCCAGCCATGCAGTGGGGTGGTTTGTGAACTACCTCTCTGAAAGGTCCCAATGTGTTCACTTTGATGGGCTGTCTTCGGAGTGGTTAAACATTGCTAATGGTGTTCCTCAAGGTTCTGTTTTAGGTCCACTTTTATTCTCCATATATATCAACAGTTTAGGTGAAAATGTGGATGAAGCTACTTTACATTTGTATGCTGATGATACCGTGATGTACTGTGCAGGTCCCTCCATTAAGGAGGCTGGTGTTAAATTACAGGCTGTTTTTAACATTATTCAGACTCAGCTTGCTGAACTTAAGCTTCTTTTAAATGTTGATAAAACCAAGGTAATGCTATTTTCAAAAGCTAAAAAGACACCAGAGCCTGTTTTGGATATTGTTACTATGCAAGGACAAGTACTTTAAGTGGTTACCAGTTATAAATACCTAGGTATCTGGCTTGATGATTGTCTTACTTTTAAACTTCATGTCAATAACCTGCTTAAAAAGCTGAGGGTTAGACTAGGTTTCTTTTTCAGAAATAAGTCCTGTTTCTCTTTTGAAGCCAGGAAAAGGCTAGTCACTGTGACCTTTTTACCTGTGCTGGACTATGGTGATTTGTTGTATATGAATGCACCTGCCTATTGCCTGAACAAGTTAGATGCCGTCTATCACAGCGCACTGAGATTTGTCACAAATTGTAAAGCACTTACTCATCACTGTACCCTGTATGCCAAGGCAGGTCTGCCATCACTTACTGTAAAGAGGCTCAGTCATTGGTACACGTTTATTTATAAAGCTTTGTTGGGTAAACTCCCGTATTATATCTACTCTCTGATAACACAGAGAGTTGCAAGCAGCTTTTGTCTGAGATCGCATGATGTAGTATTGTTAGATGTGCCAAGAGCAAGGACTGTCTTAGGTAAGACAGCTTTTATGCGCGCAGCTCCACTTGCTTGGAACAGTCTTCAGCAAGAATTGAAACTGAGCAATCTAATTCCTCTGCATGTTTTTAAAGCTAGGCTAAATGAAATGCTTGTTGATACTATGGCCACTTGTAAATGTCTAACTATGTAAATGTATCCTGTAAATATAATGTATGATGTCCTTTATTGTTTTATGTTTCATGTGGAACCTATATGCTGCAGGTCTCCCTTGAAAAAGAGATCTATGATCTCAATGGGACCAATCTGGTTAAATAAAGGTTTGAAATGAAATGAGGTAAGTTATTAATGTGTTTCCCTGCAAAAACTGAAATCTTACTAAGATGAAATATATTTTCCTGCGGTAGTGAATTTCACTTCCATTGCGTTTTTTTACTTAATTATCTTAATGAGGTTTTATTACTTGTTCTTGAGATTTTAATACTGATTCTGAGTAAATTCATGTTTAAATTGAGAAATACCATAATTCTAAAGGTATTAGATCAACACTGATAAGATCAAAGTCAGAATATCCTTTTTCATCTCTTAACATATTAAAAACAGATAATGACCAAATTAAATTCATTGTTTTATTGTCAGTCTAAAACCCAGTACATCAATTAAGTATGTCCATGAAATGCAGTATACAGAAATAACAGCACCAGCCAAGTCAAACTACTGCATTAAGAACATTCTTTTCAGCATGTATTATTCTTCAGCAAGCTAAAGTGATTGAGCACTATGTGCAAACATCTCATTTGAAAAGTTAAAGTAGGTAACATTATTCAGGCCAAGGGCATTTAGCAAACATAAACAGCATTGATAAACACCTAAATGGCTGATAACATGTTATGTAATTAACATTTAAAACAACCTGAAAGAAAGACCCAGTATTATACAAAGATACAGATGATTTATTGATTTATGATGATTTAGGTACACTGCAAACCATAATGCAAAACGCATCTGGAATCCAAACAGCTAACATTTGTATCTGCTAATAACATATCCTAAGTCAGGACCTTAGTCCTAAATTTAAACCTGCTAAGTTTGCTTTAAATGCTTCAACATCATCATATCAAAGAAACACACTATGAGTCATTTGAACTGTTGTGCAATTCCATTACATCCCCAAGATAGTATTTCACTTGTACATAGGTTTGGCCCTTTCTGCTGATTGTGTAATAAGAGGTAAAATCAACCAGCTTTTCGGCATCCACTAACTCAGTGGCCTGTGCAAGGTGTGGGACCTCAACTTGATAAGCCATAACATTTCTATCAAAGCATATAGACTGAAAAGGCTGATATTCCAAACAATAAAGCTTAGAAACAACAAGAAATATGCTTTTGACAAGTCCAAATTCTAGTGTATTACCATTTAGTACATTGGCAAGGATCAAGGACTTCTCAGTAATGTATTTATTACCATTTATCACAAGCCATTTCACTGATACAGCGTGGTGAATTTCACTGAAACCTAGGAAGTCCCTCAATTTTCCATGTAAATATTGTAGATCTCTAACCTCAGATACAGGACCTATCTCCTTTTCATTTGAACAAATTGGGTGCTTGGAAGGGTCAACATGTTGGCAGCTTTCATATATTTGGTTCTGATTAATCAAAGACTTGCATACATTTTTTAAATTGAGCTTGGAGGCCCATTGCTTAAATAAACAATGCTTAGACTCGAACCGCATACACATATGTCTGACCATGGGACCCAATGATTCTATCTGTGATGGCAAATGTATCATGTAATGCTGCTTAGGTGTAACATTGTGGTCTGTAAAAAGCTCCTTCCAATGCTTCAAATGACTTTCAATCAGTAACTTTAACATTGACACAGTTGCAATGGTAAGAACAGGTGCAAACACTATTTGAACAATCTCTATTAAGTCCATTACCAACTGCACATATGCATTGACTTTCAAATGTTCCAAAACAAATGGCAATATCCTCAACAGGACAAGCATTTGCCCTGATGACTGCCTTAGTTTACCATCAGTTGACACAAGTGTACTCAGAGAAATTGGGGATGGTCGATCTCTAACATCTAGTGGCGAATAAGGGAAACCAAGAATAGCTGAATTCACAGAGTCCAGATGTAACTCTCCTGACTGAACAAGATGATTCAAAACACATTTCATTTCCAAAGGAGCTATACCCTCTAGAATGACATGCATAATGTCTTGGGGGTTTTGCCGAATAATATCAAAGGATGGGAAGTCAACTAACTTGCTCCTTCGATTGATCCCATATGTTGTTCTAAGGCTGTTGCGAAGCAAGTCTGTGCTAGCCTTTTATATTTCATCACACTGTCTGAAATGATTCTCCAATGTTCTTTTAATATATGCATCCTCGTTGAATTGTGACTGCATGTCCTCAAAAGAACACTCGCAGTGTCTGCACTTACTGTAAGCAAAGCCCACTCCCTCTTTGAACCCTGCGAGTTCATGCTGTGCCAGGGTGTCGCCACAGAGAAACCATAGCACCATGTATTGTTTTCTCCCCGTTAATAGTTTGCATTTTAACACCACTGTACAATGCATCCATGTCTTCCTTTATTCTATTCAATATTACATCTACGCCAGATTGACGGAGGTCTGCTGATTTAGCCATCGCAAGTAGCCTAATAGCAACCAGCTTAGACCTGTATTTTGGATTTATATTACCTAGGGTGTAGTACACCATTAACAACTTGTTCTTTGATGCAAAGGATCCTAGTGGATTACAGATCTCTATTTCGTCTGTATACAGAATGATCTGCAGTGCATTTGTTTCTCTGAAAATAAGAGATGAGATTTTAAAAGAGAACCATCAACAAGGTCATGAAAAAAACCGTCACTGCACCTCTGGGGTCCCTCTTCAATCATAGTCAAAATCTTCGGATGTAATAGGAACTGCTCTACACTTTTGACTAATGGTACATAATAAAATAACTTGTCTTTTGATCCTCCACGTTTCTTCCTGCATATGGTTCGAGCAATTGGAATTTCCTCTGCATCCACACAACAAAACTGCTTCCTAATAACACTGTTCTGGCGAAATGTTGTTGAAACATTAGCAAAGGGGTCAATGAAACTGTCAAATATATCCATTGCATCTTCTTCAAGTTGATTGGTTGTACTTCCTGAATTCTTCTTTAGAACTTCCTTCATCTGCGTCCTGAGGTTGTCCAATAGTGATGATTGATACTGCTGTACCCCAGCAACAATGTCATTCATGCCTTTCTGAAAATGAGAGATTGAAAGTGATGTGATCAATCTTTGATGTTGGAACACATTATCATGATCACTGTAGCTTTATGTGATATACAGTTTTTCTTATGACATAGACACAAGTGGATAACCACTAAGACTGAACTTGGCCATCAGTGAACCACTATTAACTGCTCACTGTGTACAATAAGTAGCCAAATACTGTGCTCTGTTCTCATGTATAAGGAAGCATCTTACCTGTGACAGACGATGCTTGGATCGGGCATTGATAACAAAGGCAGTGGCATGTGTTGTCAGATCCTACAATATACAAAATGTAGTAACTTGACATTTGCAGGTATAACATTACTCACTGTGACAGGAATATATAACCATTAAATGTATGCACATCTGATGATAAAAAACTGGTGAGATGTGGTGAGCAAAGATAGATAATTTAATATTTTGTAACTCTGACCAAAACATATCAAACATTAGTATTCCAACAAGACAATAAGCCGTTCTACCTCTTTATGTGTTCATTTAGTTTTGCTAGTACAGCACATAGAAATACATCTTCACATATACCTCTAGGTTTTATGAATCATTTGGTGAATTTAAATGAAATATGTTGACATAATATTGATATATAAATGATATGCTAGGCCAATATTAGCCACTACAATATCGGCCTGACCTTTATTTAAGCATCCCTTAATTTTCAGTAGATAGTCAACAACAAAGAAAACATACTTGGTGCACTGTGACAGCTCCATCTTGGTCAATGCCCATTTGCTCTTCAACTGAGTCAGGTGTGTGAAGGTTCTGATCCTTGCTGCTGGAGTCGGCTGGAAGCTGATCAGGTTGAATGTTGTCCTGTGTACAACATATCAAAGAAACAAGATTGTTTGAAATTGAATTTAGCTTCACTAAAAGAGCAATTTAAATATTGAATTCCTATCTATCTAAGATTATTTTCACATTAAACAAACTTTGGGGGTAAGAGTTATTTCAGCAACAATTACTAACTGTAAGCAGTAGCACTTTGTCCATTGTCTGGGTAACACTCTATTACATTTGTTCAGTCCGGAAATCAAAACCATGACATTTTTTTTACAGTACTACGGCTTCCACAGATTACATTTTTTTATGGATTTTTGTCAAAGCACTTAAGATATTCATTGCTATCGGGATGTTAAAAGCATTCCATGGAATATAACAAAAAGTGTATCTCGAGCCGGTTTCTCAAACTTACCTACCCCACCTTTAATAGTGGGTAAAGAATTTGGGATTTATTTCTGATTTGCTAAAACTGTGAATTCAACAAATCATGTGCAGATCCTGACAGTGATGCATGCACCTTGCAGGATCTTGCAGAGTGAAAAAGTGGAAAACCATCATTTTTGTGATTTACTGTTTTAGCAAGTGTGGCCTGGCCAAACGTTACCCACGTAATGCATATTTTTTAACGTCTTTTTCATCCCCACAAAAACACTACATAGCTAACTGCTGAATTACAAATATATGGTTGACAGATGCCGCCTGCTTGTAGCCTAGCAGATTGATTAGTTAATGCTAATGGATTTATAATAACTAAATGTGGCCAGGCTGATCAGTATTGGCGCTATCTGTAACATCACAAAACGTACGAAACTAACCCTGTATCCGAGTTTTTTAAGCACGTGGCCCAACCACTGTAGCTAACAATTTTAGCTGACTTAGCAGCTGTTACTTACTTTTTGCTGCTGTGCTTGGGTTTCCTCCTGTCGGTTTTCATCTCCACGTGTGGCGTCGCAAGGTCTGGTGTCTTCAAGAAGATGTTGAAAGTGTCTTCTCTTTACATGATGGTAGAATGAGTTGTACACTCTATATTCCTCAGTGCATCCATCAACGCCACAGAGCAACCTGAAGTCAGGGCTGCGACTGTGCAGTCGATTAATATGGCTCAATAACTATTTCTAAGTTATTAAAACGTTTCTGCAGCAGGAAACGTTGGGGAAAATAACTAATGAAGTGGGTTTATCACATTCTCTAGCTGTATGGGGGAGGCCGGTGAGTCATGTTCCTATACAGTGGGGCAAAAAAGTATTTAGTCAGCCACCAATTGTGCAAGTTCTCCCACTTAAAAAGATGAGAGAGGCCTGTAATGTTCATCCTAGGTACACTTCAACTATGAGAGACAGAATGAGAAGGAAAAAAATCCAGAAAATCACATTGTCTGATTTTTAAAGAATTTATTTGCAAATTATGGTGGAAAATAAGTATTTGGTTAATAACAAAAGTTCATCTCAATACTTTGTTATATACCCTTTGTTGGCAATGACAGAGGTCAAACGTTTTCTGTAAGTCTTCACAAGGTTTTCACACACTGTTGCTGGTATTTTGGCCCATTCCTCCATGCAGATCTCCTCTAGAGCAGTGATGTTTTGGGGCTGTCGCTGGGCAACACGGACTTTCAACTCCCTCCAAAGATTTTCTATGGGGTTGAGATCTGGTGACTGGCTAGGCCACTCCAGGACCTTGAAATGCTTCTTACGAAGCCACTCCTTCGTTGCCCGGGCGATGTGTTTGGGATCAATCAGACCCAGCAACGTTTCATCTTCAATGCCCTTGCTGATGGAAGGAGGTTGTCACTCAAAATCTCACGATACATGGCCCCATTCATTCTTTCCTTTACACGGATCAGTCGTCCTGGTCCCTTTGCAGAAAAACAGCCCCAAAGCATGATGTTTCCACCCCCATGTTTCACAGTAGGTATGGTGTTCTTTGGATGCAACTCAGCATTCTTTCTCCTCCAAACACGTCTAGTTGAGTTTTTACCAAAAAGTTCTATTTTGGTTTCATCTGACCAGATGACATTCTCCCAATCCTCTTCTGGATCATCTAAATGCTCTCTAGCAAACTTCAGACGGGCCTGGACATGTACTGGCTTAAGCAGGGGGACACGTCTGGCACTGCAGGATTTGAGTCCCTGGCGGCGTAGTGTGTTACTGATGGTAGCCTTTGTTACTTTGGTCCCAGCTCTCTGCAGGTCATTGACTAGGTCCCCCCGTGTGGTTCTGGGATTTTTGCTCACCGTTCTTGTGATCATTTTGACCCCACGGGTGAGATCTTGCGTGGAGCCCCAGATCGAGGGAGATTATCAGTGGTCTTGTATGTCTTCCATTTTCTAATAATTGCTCCCACAGTTGATTTCTTCACACCAAGCTGCTTACCTATTGCAGATTCAGTCTTCCCAGCCTGGTGCAGGTCTACAATTTTGTTTCTGGTGTCCTTTGACAGCTCTTTGGTCTTGGCCATAGTGGAGTTTGGAGTGTGACTGTTTGAGGTTGTGGACAGGAGTCTTTTACTGTATACTGATAACGAGTTCAAACAGGTGCCATTAATACAGTTAACGAGTGGAGGACAGAGGACGCTCTTAAAGAAGAAGTTACAGGTCTGTGAGAGCCAGACATCTTGTTTGTTTGTAGGTACTTATTTTACCGAGGAATTTACCAATTAATTCATTAAAAATCCTACAATGTGATTTCCTGGATTATTTCCCCCCATTCTGTCTCTCCTAGTTGAAGTGTACCTAGGATGAAAATTACAGGCCTCTCTCATCTTTTTAAGTGGGAGAACTTGCACAATTGGTGGCTGACTAAATACTTTTTTGCCCCACTGTATGTACACACGTCATAAAAATACCTGGGAATAACTTGTGGAATGATGTGCATCTAGAAACAGATGTTTGAAATGTTAACTATGACAGCATCAGTTATTAATATTCCTAATATCTGCAACATATACAATATCTCTGTCACCCCTCTTTTTTTTAACAAATGGTACCTTCCAATGGGAACCGTGAAAAGGGTCCCTTAAGGGCGTGTGTTAGGTCAGGTGCACCACTGCACCTAGCTTCAGGGTTGCTGGCTAGCTTTCCTTCAGGCAGAAGACTGAACCTCCGGGATTTCACATTTAACTACGCCATGGATGAAAATGGAAGAGATATCACATATCCGGGCATGGATGCTATAGCAACTGCAGCATTAAAAGGTAATGTAATTGTGTATTTTATGCTGCACCTCTCCAGCAAGCTTTACATTATTTGAATCGGTTGGACAACAAGTTAGCATGCAAAGTAAGCTAGCTAGCTGGCTATATATCTAGTGTTAACTTAGCTAATATCTACTGTAAGCTGTTAATAACTGCACAAATGACAAATCGTGGTTAACATTTTAATTTATACTGTATTATTGCCAGAAATCATGTCAAGAAGCAAATGAGCCTTCCACAACTGAAAGTAAAGTATTTAGCATAGCCATCTTTGGCGCCTTTTTTTGTTGTAGACAGCATTTCACAATGTATGGGCTCAGAACAGTCTCATAATACACACATGCACACAGAAGGATTCACACTTGTATTTCATGATCCGCAAAAGGATTCACACTTGTATTTCCGGATCCACACTTGTGTTTTTCAATGCATACACAAATGTGTTCCATTTCATATACATGTAAATAAAATCCAAACACAGAAAAAAGTTTTACATGTGTATTTTTGATCCACACATATTAGTTTTCCGTTTAAAACCGCTGCACCTTCAAACACAAACAGCTTTCTGTGCACGGATCGCTGTGCATTCGTGTGTGGGTTTTTTGAGACTCCCCTGACGCTCACCCGATTCGTACTTGTAATTTCTCTCATCTATAGCCAATCAGATGTCTCCTCCAGTCTAAGCCAATCACATGAGCGCGCCCCCACGTGGGTAGGATTTCTTGTGTTCGTGACGTGGCACTTCATTTACGCATTTTGCGCAGTCCGGACTCTGGAGCTGACAGGTCAGAGGCATAGGTCAGAGGTCATCTTTAAAATGGCGTCTGGTGGTCGCGCGCCTCCCGCTCCAAGTGTAAGTTATGTTTAAATTATGAAATACTCCTAAATTATGAAGGATTGGTTTTGCTTAGTTGTTAGTTGTTTAATTCGAGAATTATATAGAACTGTTTTGGTTAGCTGTGTTGTAGTAGCTGAGCTCCATAAGCTAACATTAGCTAGCGTTGTCTGTCTAACGGTCTAACGATCCCCCATTCTTATTATGTGCTTCTGCTACCAAGTAAAATGTTGCAGTGAAGTGAATGTGAGAGAAAATTAATTGACTGTTCGACAGGGTGTAACGCCTCGGGTCGAGGTAGCAGCACGGGCTTTAGTTCAATTAATAGCCAGGGAGTTGTCTGCGACTCCAACTCCACCAGAAGTGAGCATAGCAGAGAGTGCACCGGTCAGCGTAGCAGTCAGGGCGGTAGACAGCGTCCAATCCCACAATGATGTCAGGGTGAGGCAGGCGATGAGAAGGTGATTTAATAGACTTTTTTTAACATTTGACAGTTCAAGATCAAACTGTGGCTTAATCCCGTAGATGTGTAAACATCTGATATTTGATCTCACCCCTTGCATTACTCTAATGTAATGTTGAGTTAATGTTTTAAAACATTTGTCCATAGTATGTATCCTCCATTACTGCTTTTAAAACCTTTAACAACCCCTTGCCTTGAAACGTCCCAAACACAATATATTAATGTTTTCAAAACAAATATTTTGGTAAGATAAAGCTAAGTGTCAAGATTGTTTTTGTATCGACAGAATATTAACTATGATTTCGCTTTTTATTCATACAATTTGTTCAACCTATGTTAACAAAACCATCAACGCAAGCCAATGATTTGGAAATGATATAACAATGTCTAGTCTCACAGATCCTTTTGTCATTCCCACATCAGGCAATTCCCAAGTATGTTCAGTACTGA